TCAATGGTTGGAAATGTGGATATGATAAAGCTATTAATTGGATTCGGTGTGGATATGAATATTCAAGACGACTGGGATGGATGGACCCCTCTTCACCATGCATGTAAAGAAGGGAATCTGGAGGTAGCAAAATACTTTATAGGTGAGTGTCGTGTGAATATAAGTATCAGGGATAAGCATGAAAGGGATCCAAAAGATATCGGTAAGCATTGCATTGTATATATCGTATATATTTCGTCCTCTGGTTAGATCACAATTGAATTATTTATTATCTGACTGTTTTCTTCTGAAGCGGTATTATGGAATAGACACAAAATCATCAACCTTTTTACATGAAATTTCCAATTACAGTGCAGTAATTGCAATATAGCATTACAACGATGTGGTTTTATTTTAACAAATATTAAAAAATAAATTTGTTTATTTATTGCAATTAAATTTATTATTAAATTATACCATTACAGAATGCGCATACTGTTATCCATTATCTACAGTATGTGATACACATTTTTACATTCCATATTCGGAATAGCTTGTATTTTTTTATATGGTTACGTTGATCAAAAAATTGCATTACAGTGTTCATCTTTAAATTTCTCTTTGGGATATAGTAAAATGTCCAGAGGTCTAATATACGCAAAAGCATTAGCCGTCGGTGGTTTGATTGTTGGGTTCGGGTACATGCTGATGAGGTTGAGCACACCTACCGAAGAACAGTATTATGCTGCACGTATTAATTCTTTTTATCTTAATGTGTTGGCTGATTAAACAAGAACGATGAAATTTAACGATCCTTTTTCGAAAAACATCGTTAGAAATTATCACCAGAACATAAAAAGCGAATCAGTGACAAAACAAAGATACGAGAACACAACGCCGCAATACTGGAAATGATAAAGAAAGTTGCCGAATCCGACAAGCCAAGTGCGTAAGACCTTATTAATTTATTTTGAATAAGCTTAAACACTTCCGACGCGTTTTCTAACTTCATCGATTCTCTGCATCTTTCACAAAGTATATGATACAAGACAAATAATTCTTGAAGAAAACGTAAAGAAAGAGGATAATTAAAAAAATGATGATTGCATGAATATCGATTTGTCGATGTGGGAATGGAAAAATCTTTATATTATCACGAAAAGAAAGATCGATCGATCAACTACTCTATCATCATTCCATTACTCCTTTGCTAGAGCCACTTTACATTAGCTACAATCATTCCAACATTTTGCTGGAACCAATCTCTTGGGCCAATATTCATTTGAAAATCACTTCTCAACTGATTCTTGTACGATTTCTTATATAACCATGATAATGGCAACAAAATGATCCATAGACACGTGATAAAACACAAAAATTTAAACCAGAATTTTCTTGTGAGCCTAGCAAATTTGTGATCTGATTGAACGACAACTACATGGTTACGCATCGGATAAGTTATACGAATATCATTACGATAACCCTGACTTCGAATCGTTGATGAAACTGCTTTCGTCAGCGATTCATAATCCCAAAGCACCACCTATTCGAAAAAAAAAGGTCAGTGATAAGACATGATGTTATGATCTGTCTTCGGAAACCAATTCAAATATACCTTTCGCATTTCAATTTCCTTCAAGATATTTTTATGCTCGACATAATCTTTCAATAATTGCATAATGTCCAGTTCAGGACTCTTGTCGGCCGTTAGATGTATTTCTCCATTAGGTAAAATATAATCTGTTAAGTCATAAGTAAACTTGAAATCCGTGACTTCAATATGTTTTGACCTGGTTGCCCATTTTGTATTTCCACCTTCATCTGTATATGTGTAACTTTCCTCCACCCACTCTGAGTGGTAACCTTGAAAACAAAATTTAAATCATTTTTATTAAAACAAAAAAAGCTGAGAACGCTCAAGTCTTTGAAATTTCTTACCATGAATTGATATGGCCATTTGTGGTTTATCGTTATGAGCAATGAAAAATCTATACAGAGATTCCGCTTCTCTGTTCAATTTTGGATCAGAAGAGGTAACACCATTATCTGAAACCTGAAATTCTGCATCCGATATTGTATATTTGGGTGGCGGCGAATTCATATCTAAGGAAGTCGCACCATCATCGAGTGTTTGAGACGGTATTTCTCGATTATATGAGCTACCGCCTTCACCATGATCCATTCCATCGTTCAAAGACAATTTTGATTTATCTACATCTGATCCATTATTGTCGTTTTTTGTAAGTAGACATGCGCCTTCTTCTTCCAAATCATTAGGTACAACGAATATTCGTTCAAGTGGCCTTGCACTTACAGATTGAGCCACTGGTGTTACGGTGAACGTCGAAGGATTTACAGAGTTGGCGATAGCTTCTTCATAACTTGGTGGTAATGTGTTGTTGGTGGTTGATGGCTGACCGTAGCTATCATTTTCAGGGAAGTTTGAATTCATGGTTGCTGCATAAGTGCCCCTGGGAACAGAACTATTGGGTTGGGAGGAGTTTTGATATCCCGAGGAGGAAGCATCAGATGCTGTGAAAACAAAGACGTAATCCGAGTTATCTGACATTTTTGAGAAGACAGCGGTGGGGGAAGGGGAAACGGAAACGGGTGCAATTTATGTATACATCACGCAACCGATCTGATCGCCGTGTGCCAACCCCGTGACTTTTTGGACTCATAACACGTGAAATTTATTTTAAGTCATATATGCGCATATATGTATTATTTAAAAAAAAATTTTTTTTTTAAAAAACAATTTTATTTAATATTATTATACTCAACTCGTTAAAAAGAAATTCTTTAAAGTGAATAATTTATTGTTCCATGTAATAATTAATTAATTGATTGATAATTTTATTTAAAAAAATTTTTATTATTTGAAATTAACAACACACATAAATCATAAATTATATTTTGCAAATATATATATATTTATCACAATATAAACAATATTAATTAACAAAAACCAATGTAAATAAAAAAAATTGTAAAAAATTATGTACAGTATGTATGCATAATTTGATTAATTATGATTTTATAAATTTCTTTTGACAAAGGAATAGTATAATCTATACTTGTTTTTTTTATAAATAGGAAAAGTTGATTTAAAAAAGGTTATTATTTTTAAATTTAATTTAATAATATCACAAGATAACAACAATATATAATAATAATAATGGTGTTGTTATAATTTTATTTAAACAAAAACTATTTATGATTTTATTTAAACAAAAACTAACTTATGATTAATATATCAATCGACTTTTTATGTAAATAAAAGATGAATAGTAATCTATTATAAAATAAAATCGACCTTTTTTTTTTTTAGTAAATTATTATTATTCCTGGATTTGATTTATGCTTGATAAAATAATTTTTAAAAAATATGAGAGTGCACGTTCGTCATAAGGTCACATCTTTATCCGCAATGATACATTAAGACGGAATCAAAATTCGAAGCAGATGGTCATCCTCGTTTTATTTTTCTTTTATATATATAATTTTATTAATATCTTATACAATATTTAATGACATTTGGAATATTATATATTTATATATTTGTACATTATTATTTACCAACTATTATTCCTTCTCATCGTACTATAATTATTTAAAGTTCTTCCGCCACATCTTCCCATTCTTCACCTTCACAATCCTCTTCATCTTCCGCCTTCGTCTCGACGTTTCCAACCTCGAGATCAACATCACTGTTAAATATATCTATTTCGTTATCCGTAAGACTAGACACTATCTTCTCATAAGCATCAACGAATATTGAGAGCGAACTCTCGTGAGCGTTGTTTAAATGATCTGTGCCATCACCAGTACAATGCTTATTATCGACATTATCATTTCGATTGACAGTATAAATACTATTACCACGACTATTGTTAGCGTGATAATCATCATGACTTTTCTTTGTTTTAACATTATTATTGTAACTATTCTCAACGTCATTAATATTACTAAAACCTGGATTTATATTATTTCCATTATTGAGCATATTGGTTACGACTTCTTGAATAAGAAGTCTCGATGAACTGTGACGATATTTTTGAGAATTACGACGATTGTGCGGATTGTTTCCAAGAAATTGGAATGCGGGTGATGACGGCTGGCGAAGATCCAATTGATGAGAATCAGGTTTTTGTTGACAAGGATCGATGTGAATCTCTTGAGGTTGTTTAACGGATTCAACAACGCCGGCACCAATACCACTATCATCTTGCGGATGAAATATGGCTTGTGGGGCTGAATGAGATAGTGAATGTTCGCTCTGATTATGGTAGGGCGACGACGGTGGTAGTGGGTTCACGTTCTTGGACGATGGTGAATCATTCGTTGTCGCCCATCTAGAGGAAGGAGTTTCATGCGGTTTCCAGCCTTCGTTCATCACATACGTTATTGCATTTCCCGTCCCACCAGAGTGCATCCCTTTGGTTAGTGAATAACAAAGAGATAATGGTGAAACCAAGGAAAGATAAGATTTACATATAAAAATAATTTCCTCGTTACTCACCTACAACGCAAATAATGTAAAGCCAAGAAGAATGCACCTGAAAAATTTTGGTCAATGCGTAAATTTGCACTGGAAGCCACTGTATGTAGTAATTTATCACGTGTTCTTAATACCCGACCATTCTACCATAAATTCATAAAGCTACGTGAGAGCAGTTACCTGTATAATGAACACAAGAAGATAACCCAATACTTTATTCAACGCGCGCTTTTCCAATTCACTACGCCTCCTTGATATTTCGGAATGCCTTCGTCTTTGATTGTTGGTATTGATGCTCTTTCTAAACCTTCGAATGTTGACAATACCTCGAACATTAAAATTACAATTGCATCTAAAGAAATTTCGAAGATTTCGACCATAGAAATTAGAATTTCCAGAATTGTGATTGTTGGATTGTTGGTCACGCGGCCTATAGACATTATTTCTTGCCGCATCAAGAAGAGTTCTTAGGATGAGGATGCAACAAGAGATGACGAGGATAAGGATGATGGAGATTAGAATGAATAGAAAGGTGAGTACGAACGAGCTGTCGTATCTCGTAGAGCACCTGTTAATGGTGTAGAAAAGAGTCAATTAAGTGTCATAAAGTATTATTTTAAATAATTCTAGATTATAAAATAAATAACTACCAATATTTTTGATCGACAATCAATTGAAATATTCCCGAAAACAGAAACACCATTAACCACAACTTATAATCATACTTTCCAAGATCAATGTAAATTTCTCGGCATACTCGAAGATATGTGGTTATGCTGCGTGTATTATACAAAAAAGCGCGCATAAGCGAAAAAGTAAAAAATGCGCGTGCACGTCACCTATATCACGTGACAAATGACAAAACAAACCTTATAGCGCTGTAAAGCGTCAAATTTAGAGAGATGAAGAGATAGTTCAATGCACCAAGTACACCACAAGTTGGTTGAGACCAAGCTATTGCGTTCGCTGATGTTTGATACTGCGAAAGTTATTTTAAGCAGTTAAGCTTTGGCACTAGTCAGAATATGGAATTTCTAAAACAAGAATTAACATACGATATCGATCGCTCCTATTACCGCAATTCCCGAATCTAATTTAATACACAATAATAATAGTCTCTATCATAAATTAATTTATGCAATCATCTTGATCGACCAGCATGAGATCACTAATTTAAAACATACCAGAAACAGCGGTGTAAAATGGTAACCTAAATATCATTGACAAACTTTTTGTGGAAAGCTTCCATTGCATCCAAGACCGATAGAAGATGTAAATGCAACCGGAGCAATTGAGAAAGATCACCAAATAGGCAATCGCGACTACCACATGAAAACCGGTTGCATTTTTGAGATCGGTGAGAAATTGACCAGAGAACGATCTCGAAGAATTGGATGAAGGTTGGGAGGAGGAAGAAGGTTGAGGCGACGAATAGAATGAATGAGAAGGAAGAGATGATGTTTGACCATCTGACGAAGATAACACAGTTGTAGATAATAAAGTTTCAGAATCATCATCATCATCCGAAGATGGCACAGGAGAATTTATGGAGGACGATAATGTAGTTAAGGAGTTAGGCGATAAGGTTGAGGTAGAATCGGTGAGAGAATCAGTGGGAGAATCAGTTGGAGAATCAATGAAAGTGACAACAACGCCATTATTACTGACTGTTTTATCAGTGATCGCGGTGATGGTGATGGTTAGAAGAAAGAGTATGTAAGTAGTAGTCAATAATAGTGAAGACTGCGCCATGCCTATTACACATTGCAACAATAATTGATACTTGAAAGATCTTATATATTAGAAGATGTTCGCATTTAGAACAGATGTAAAGAATCAACAGTGAAAAAGGTTTTTTGGTGTGATAAGGTTTAAAATAAGACTGATTTTATGGAAGAACAATCGCACTTAACTATCGTGAACTGTAAAAAAATTTACTGCACTGAAATTTATAAGATCTTGTTTATTTATATGAAGGAAAAAAAAATTCTTTGAGGAACACAATTCAAAACTCGGAATTATCAAAAATATGTATTTAAAATTAGGTAAAGATAATCCTGACTTTAATGGATTTTTTATGTAAACAATTTTTCCCGAGATCAATTGCAGTTCAAAGAATAAAGAACTGCCAACACTTTGACTTTCTTTTTAAATTTACGATGCAAGAAAATGAAATATGAAATAATTTTGCGAGAATTAAATTTCAATAACGAAACACGCATTTATGTTCCTGGAAGAATATCCCTAAAAAGATGAGAACGATGTAAGAATTATTGAAATTCTTTTAGAAGATAGAGTTCCATCGCGTAATAATGATAATAATGATCTTTAATTTTTAATTGGTACTATTTCTTATAAATAAATACAACGTGATTATTTATTAATGCAATTTTAAGAATTTTTACACGTGTACTTATCTGATTATTAGCAGGTTTTAACTGCTTGAAAAAAATGCGGGTGTTACATTCCCAGAAGCTTCCGCCAACAGGGCATCTTATTAAAAAGGTTTCATAAATCGTGGTTATGTCCAACTTCAGACTATAATGTAACAATCAATTTTTCAAATCACCCTATAATGATAATTAATATCATCTTTCTTCTTCCAAAATAGTCTTAGGCAAGTGCGTACATGCGTGTGTGCTACCTTGCAAATTCTCGAGGATCAAGATTCGTAATTATGCAACATTTTTCTTTGACGAATTCTTTTTTACGCTAGTATCGTTACCACTATGTCAACCTTGTAGATCACAGTATTGAGACTATTAGCGTCCCCGGGCTCGAGACATTAATTATGTATTTCTGGACGACCACTAGGAATCACCACGTGCTGAATGTTTCTTGATGCGTGAATTTAATATGAAATTTGTTTATTCTGAATCAGTTATATATTGAGTTTGTAAACATTTACTTCCTTAGAATGCATATGCTGTATATTAATCATCACTAATTAGACGATGTCAATTTTTTTGAACGGTTTTTGCAATAAAAAATTTCTTATTATTATTAGGAAACGTGTTGTTGTTAGGGTCGGTGCATATGCAACTTTTTATTTTCGCGCGCCAAGATTCGTTAGCACCACTAGAACACGATTTACATTGCTTCTACCATGAACAGTAAAAACCTGATAATGTATAATAGGGACCGTAAGGCCAGTAATTGGACTTTTACAATGTTTATTCGGCTAATTATTTCTAAAAATATTATAAAAACAATTTATATTGATATTTATTTAAAAAAAAATTACATAAGAATCTAGGGATCGCAAAAATCCAATCCAAACCCGATATCCATAAATCCAACGAAGCGTATCGTCACACCACTGAGAAGCTCTAATTTCAAGGAATCCGGTTATTAAATTATAATTATTTTTGAAAAATTATTAAAAATACAGTATTATAACCTAACAATTAATAATTAAAATCAAATTATCTTATGATACAATGTGTAAAAAAAAATTTATAATTTATAAATACAGTATATACAATATATACTGTATATAGTTTGTTAAAAAAAAATTTATAATTTTTATTTTTATTTGTAATTTAATGAATAATTTTGATGAATTAAGTTAAAATTTAAATATACTGTATGTATATTCATAAAAATAAAAATAATAAATTTATGTGACTTTAAATAACTAAAAAAATAAATAATATAATATAAATTTCGAAAATTAAAAATTTTGAAAAACAATAAGATTTTTAATTTTTGTAATTATAGTATTCAAGTTTTTAAAATTATATTGTTTTTTAATTAAAAAAGTAAGTTAATAAAATGTAAACAATGTAAAAAATAAATTTGAAAATAAAAATATAATATTTGCAATAACTTATGTAATATAAAACAAAAAATTTAACTTTTATTAATAATAAAATTATAATTATAATTATAATATATTGTCTTAAAAAATTTTTTTGATACTGTTAGCAAGAAAATTGCTTAAATAAGGCCTGGGGACACGACATTCACGTCACACGCCTAATCGAAGCAATGGAAATACCTTAGTAATTACTCAGATGATATAATCAGAAGTTTAAATGGTTTATATAGTATGATAGTTTATAAGTCATAGCGATAGTCTTATAGCAGATAGTCATGGTAGTATAAATAGGAGTGACAAAAGTGCAAAAGAAAAAAAGGAAAAATTCAGACAATAATAACAATAATGCTAATTCTAACTTAATTTAGTAATAATAAATTATCCTTCTGATAGAAGCGCGAAACAGTTGTGCGAGTATTAATTAAAAATTACTAAAAGTGATGGTATGATAGACACACTTAAAAAGAAAGTTAGTAATTAACCCTCTTCTAAAGTAACGTTGCCACAAGAGGATCATTCTAGTAGTCACTAAAAGAGATAGTAACTCGAACAATCAACGAAAAGTGACAAAAAAAAAAAAAGGTTAATTATAGGTTCAAGATTGGCTAAGTCAAATTCACGCCTCAAGTAGAGAAAAGAAGAATAATCTACCTCGACATTATATAAGTTTGACTTGTCCCAAGTGACAGACTCGCTGTTTCAATATCAACAATACTTTTAAAAAATATTAAATTATTTTAATTTTACTTTTCTTAAAAATAAAATAATTATAATTCAATTTCAAAACTTGTATTAAAAAAATTAAATATATAAATATATTATAAAATATATGTTATAAATTTTTAAAATTGTTTTTTTAATATTTAGAAAATCTCTAATTGAAAATAGATTGATAATATTTTATAAAATTTTTTAAAATTTAATCTTGTTTTTATTCTTGAATTCTATATACAGTATGTTTTAATATAAAAAAAATAATAATTCAAATATAATTTTTATTTATTATATCTAATAAAAAATTATTTTTTTAATATGTTTTATTTTTTTCTTATTATTTAATAATACTTTTTTTTTTATATAAAATTAAAAATTTGGTTTTTTAAATTTTTTTAAAAAATTCTACTCAAGTTTTTTTATAAAATAATTTAATACAGGATTTATAAATTTAATTGCTTATAATACTTTAAATTCTAATTATACTTATGAATAAATAATCTCCCATAATAAAAGGTCTAAAACATCTAGTTTAATATATATCAGTATTCAATAAACCCTACATATTTTACAAAACTATACTATTGGAAAAGAGTTAATAAAGAAATTATTTAGAGCATTAGCAGAAACTAGCATAGCTAATTAGAAAAGTCCTTGATATCAAAACTTAATTTCAATAACATTTTATCAGGAGAAGTAATACTTGAGGCATTTGTTCCTTCATTTCAATATCTAGGACATTGAATTCAAAAGGTTCGAAATTTCAACTAGGACACCATGCCAAAAAATAGTCATAGGAAATAAAAGAAAAAAAGTATTTCTCAAATTATACCTAATAGTATTCAAAATAATATACAGGCCTAACCTTGGTTCTTCTAATTATATTTTATTATGTAGTGTCAAATTTTATCTACAGTACCAATGCTTATCTTAGCTCAATTATTTAATAAAGTGATTGATGCTAACTATGGTGCAATCAGTACAAAACCAGGAAAAAAATTTATATTGATGTTATTATGGGAAAGAATTTGCAACTCATGTTAATGAAACTATAAAAAATGATAAAGTTGGTGAGAAAAAACAATATATAAAGTATATATATAATAAAATGTTAGAAGGCCTTCCATTCTCCATACAAAGATATCTGAAAGATACTGCAAGGGAAACCAAAAAAAGATGTAAAAATATACAAATTATTTGAAAACTTAGGTATAGACAAGATCAAGTATATCAGGAATTATAGTGAATCCCATTTTGGAGTTAATTAATGAGAAATTTATAAGTTATAGATAGTTTCACTGAACAGATTCGAAATATCTCTCCCATCTATCTCACTATCTCACTGTCTCGTATATCTATTCAGAAGATATAATAATGGAGGAATCGAGGATAACAAATATTTACCCGGAATGGAACCAGAGTATACAAATGAGATGAGTATAACTCCTTAAAAAGAAATTCTTATTAGAAATGTATGTTATTGATGCTCTTAGGTTGATATCGCCTTTGAATTCCAAGATAATACCAAATATTGGAAGAAAGAACAAGAAAGTATACCTGAAGTAGATTTCTTAAAACACAAGAAAACTTTTATGCTAAAAAGGATGTTCCTACTACTCCCCATAAAAGGAATTAAAAAGGCATTATTCAATATTCACTAAATATGTGTAAGTAGAATTTAGAACATACAGGTTATCCATACAACCAGTAGTGACTAGAATTGTTATTAAAAAGATATTCTTTCATCAATTACTAAGAATAAACAAATACACTTCTCTTTTGTACCGTTTACAAACGTAATACAAATCGGTTTAATAATCAAACCATGTTGTCGTCACCGACGAGTCAGTCGCTAAAACGGCGCACTCTTCGCGTGACGATAGTCTGAACGCTTGGATTTTGGCATTAAATAAAGGTAAGGCTTTAACTCTGAGGCGGTTACAATTTGACCGACTTTTCACACTTGTCAATCACTTCTTGACCGTCTTTACGGTGCAAAAGGTAACGTCGTGTCTCTTCCTTAAAGTCGTTTACTTTACTGTAGTGGCGTTATTCTCGGTTTATAATTTATTGAATGTCAGTGTTATTGTGCGTAGCTGTAGCATTTATTTTAATAAGTCAAAGAGCGTTCTAAAACTCTAAACTAGAACTTCGAACAGCTAGCTAACTATTGACTGACTCCTATAAACTATCGAAAACTATCCTATTTATATGCCTTGTTGACGCGTCCACCTAGTTACATGCTATTACCAATTATTTACAATCATTGTCACTATTTACGTGACGCGCTCCAATGTCACGTTCCCATCCCTATTGTTCCCACAACAATGTGTACATCAACGTGGCATAATTGATGAAAGCAGTAAATAACTATTATTTGAAAAAATCGGCGAAATATAAATTGCTTTGATTTAATTGATACCCATGTTGTAATAAAAGGGAATCATACAATGAATAAAGTTTTGGATAGCTGCAATCCAGGTACAGAGTGTCATGTTTCGCAGACGATTTAAAAAAATAAATGCTAATAAAATTAAGCATTGTCGTGGGCTATCCGTCAAGTCCACGCTGCTCGTCGTTACGTTCGGTTAACAATAAAGTAAGTTTCTTTACTCTTAAGGCATGTTTTCGATTTAGCCGGTCTTACTTTAACCTCTCTATCGACTAATCTACAGTAGAACCCTTCTTATGCCAATTCCTTTAGGCAAACTTCGGTTCTCACGCTTAGTCGCGTAGCACTAGTTACAAGTATTTAGGGTGCACTTGAAAACAAGGAAAGAGTTTATTTTTAAACGTTACTTTATTGTTTATTTACTAGAACGCTCTAAACTAACTCTAACCGCCTACATGCGCCTATTGTTTACATGCTTGCATCTGTCTTGCTATTCTACGCTACTCTAGAAATTTCCGTCACTAAACTTTCCCACCTTAATTTTCCCACCTTAATTTCCCCACAGTTTACGATAACAGGGTGACTCAACGTGATATCGCGTTGCACGCCTGCGTCATATTTGCCTACAACAACATAAAAGATTTATTTTTGGAATTTTACATCAATATTCTTTCATGATTCGATTCATATATTTCTAATAGATTTCATACTCTTCTTGCAATAAATGTCTGAGCCTTTATAAAATTTAAAAAGTTGAACTGAAAACCATATGGCTAATGTTCATACACTGTAAGATATTAGCTCTATTAATAAAAGGTATATGTCAAATAGCATGCGGAAACAAGAGCTTGAGGAATCTTTACATCATAGTTTAAAGTCTATATCCGAGCTTAATGATTGCAACGAAGTATTACAACAAGCAAATGAGTTTGACCGAGAGAGGAATACACATAATTGTCAAATTCTACAAATACTATACGTTAATGAAGTCAACCGATTGAAAGTAGACAATACTAATCTTACATCACAGATTACCAAGCTGTGTATAAAAACAAAAGTAACGCTCAATTGAAAGAAATTAATCTCTACAGAGTATAATTAAGGTATTAAAAGGTCGACCCAGATAGACGCGCTCACTGCTCAGGAAGAAACAGTAAAAAAAAGAATCCAAAATCCAGTCTCTCAAGTTTAAGATAGATGAATTAACCTCAAAAGTTGGTCTGAAGTCAGATGGTATAGAAGCATTGCTGAGAGCAGACATGATGGCAGAGCCATCCACTCCGTGTCCAGAATTCTCACTTTGTGAGTCAGCACCTGTGATGGGTAGAGATTATTGAAAACAATACATCACTCTCTGATATTATTAATCTCAGTAAATAGAAAAGGTATCGATCAAGTTAGCGTAAGTCGGCCTTCGTCTAAAAAATCGATACCACCGTACAGGCTCGTGATGATAAAAGTATTCTTACAACTGAATCTCTACTATCCCATGACTAAATAGTTAACCCTGACCTGAAATTCCACATACCGATATTAAGTTAATAAAAAACGATATATCCCAGAGGATACGCATGCAAACTCTGATGTGCCATTAAGTGTGACACCATACCTTGCACAAGAGAACAAATCATGTCCTCATATCCCAATAGATGGGGTAAGGGCTGTTCCTACTGCGGCAAGTCATTTAATGTCACCACGATCAGTATATATACTACTCACCTTCTTAATTATAGCAATTACATGTTTGTTATATTAAGACGCGAATGGGGAGTTGATAAAAAAGCAATCAGTTACGAGGTATGATAGAGTTCGTATATTTGAACTTGGATAAGAAGAGGATTGAAATACTTTGATGGCTAGATTATATAAAGGGTTTGTATTATGTAATTTTAATCGGAATGAAACTTAGGTAAATATTATAAATATTATGTTATGTTTTACGCATATCATTCATCTTTTTTACAGCTTTTTCTCTTCCTCTATGTCGAATGGTTCTTTCAACAAAAAGTACAAATCATCAAAAATTAATTTTCTATGATCGTCTAATAATAAAGTGGGTTCCAGAATAACTATTCTATCTCACCCTATTCATTAATCTATCAAACAAGTTGCTAATAATAAATTTATTAATAATCTTTTATTCTGACCATCATCACAAATAATACTTTTTGGGTTAAAAATTGTCAGGTGATCATTAAAATTACTTTGTAGTATCTTAGAAATATCTTCTTTTTTGTACAGGTATATATTGTATATTTCTTAAGAAATTTTTTCCATAGTGATAATACTGTATATTATTATTAATTTGATATGTTAAAATGCAAAGATTTTGTGTCACAATATTATCTGATTCATACGATTAAAATTAAAATTTATACAATATATAATAATGCAATGATTGCTCCATTTAAGCATCACCAAAAAATGATATTTTAAAGTATTAAAAAAAAGTAACACTTCAAGATATTGACAAAAAATAATACTTAAAAGTTTTTTTGTATTAACAAAAGGTAATACTTCAAGATATTAAAGTTTTTAATAAAAATTAAAGTATTTAAGACATTAATTATATAAAAATTTCTATAATAAAATAAAAAAATATAATAAATTTTTTATAATCCAAAATAGTAAAAGATATATAATAAAAAATTGTATTTTGAAAATTTCTTTAAGTTTTTTTAGAATTTTATATATTTTCATAAAAAAAAATTTTTTATTCATAATATAAATTCAAATTTTTACAAATAAATTATAAAAATATAATAATTATTATTATTGTCTTTTATATAAATTACAATTTTATATTAAAAACTATTTGTTTGAAATTAATATTTAAAAAGTTTGTACAGAACAAACAAATAATTTTTTTAATTTAAATTTTTTAAATATTAATATATTTTTATCTATAAATATCTAAAAATTTTCTTATAATATAAAATTAAATATAATTCTTATTTTCAAAATTTATTTAAAAAATTTTTATTTAAATATTTTAAAATTTTAAAAAAAATAAATTATAAATATATTTTTATTAATTTTTAAACAAATTTATTTGAAAATATTTACAAATTAAAAAATAAGTTCTTATTTGTTATTATAATCTATAAAAAAATTAGAATTTGATATTATAAAAAATTCTAATAAATTCTAAAAATAAAAAATAATTTATCAATTTATCATTTATAATTATACTTTAAAATAATCTTTTTGTTTTTTTTATTTAAAAATTGGTTATATTAAAATTTTATACAAGTTTTATTTATTTAATTAAAATTATTAAAATATTTAAAATATATTATTTTAATTTTTTAATTGAAAATATATTTATTTAAAAAATTCTTAAACTTAATTAATTAATTAATTTACTATAAGCAATATATTTTAAATATTAATTATAATAATAGTTTATTAAAATTATTATATAACATAATATATTATTATTTTTTATTTGATTTATATAATATAATATATGTATTAGAAATATTTTATTTATTTTAATTTTTTTACTATTGTATTTAAAAAAACAAATATTTAATTATTTTTTAAAATCTAAAGAGAACTTAAAATAAAAATAAATTTATGTAATTTTTTTTTAAATAATCTTGTAAATATTATAATACTCACAATTATATGATAAATATTTTTAAACTATTTTTAAATATACAAAAACTATACAAATTTTTATTTAAATAATTTAATTATATAAGTATTTTAATACAATATTCTTTTCAATATATAAATTAGATTAAATTTAATTTTTTTCTAATATTTTAGCTATTACTTCAATTATTTAATATTTCTAAGAAAAAAAAAATCCCAATTTTGCTATATAATTATATATAAAAATAAAAGATTTTATTATTTTAACAAGTAATAAATAGATTATAAAAGATATTTAACAAGTATTTATAATAATTCAAATATAATAAACTAATAACATGGTTAGAATTTGTTATAAAAAAGTAACAATATCTATTATATATAATAATAGTAAGTTAAATATTAGTTTGCTTATATAATTTATATTTAATTAATTTTAAAAATAAAATTCAAAACAATATTAATATATTAAATATAATTAAATAATAATTATATCTACTAATTAAAAATTTATTAAAATATAAAATAAAATAAAATAAAATAAAAAATAAAATAAAAGCTATTAAAATTAAAATAATGACTATTAAAATTCAAACCAAATTGAATAGATTATAAAATTTATAAAAAAAAATAAAAAAAATATACAAGAAAATAAAAAAATAAGAAAACTATTATAAGTTTTTTTCATGTAATCAAAGAATAAGCAAAATCTTCAAACTTATATAAACTTTAATTTGAGATTTTATTTTATTGTATTAATTATTTTAAATTTTTCTAAGTTTTTGAATTAAAGCTTATTTGTAATAGAGTATAAAATATTTTTTCTTAACAAAAATTACTATAAAAGAAAAAATTTTTATAAACTAATATAATTAAAAGAGTGTTTTTATTTTTAACAAATTATATAATATATTATTAAAAATTTTATTATAAATATAATTAAATTTGATTGTAATTATTTATCAAATAATAATAAAAGTATAATAACAATATATTTTTTTTATTTTCTATTACAATTTTAATAATGTTATTCAAGTATTAAAAAATATACAGTATATAAATTTATATATAATATATAATACATAATTAATTTTTAAAATAATCTAATTAATAAAAATAAGTGTTTTAAATTTTTTAAAAAAATGATTTTTTTAATGAATTTTTAGATATAAATATATTGTATATTCATATTGATGAAATTTGTAACTCTAATATAATTGATTAATGTAATTAGTTGATACAATTAATAGAGTCACTATTAAAGCATATAAAATAATCAAGTCTGATGTAATTTTTCTTTGAGGATTTTGAAAATTGAGTCAACAGCAAAATAATTTATGCCACATGTATGATTTTAAAAAAATTTTTATTAAAGAAATACTTGGATCTCTTGAAATATTTGTTTTTAAATAATTAATTTTATAAATTATTGAAAAAAAAGTTTAAAAAAACTATATGATTTATATGACACTTTATCAATAATTATTGTTCCTAAATTTCTTGGTTTTTTTTTTTTGGCATCATTAAATACATTTTTTGAACTTTAATTTTCAAAATTTTATTTTTTTAAATATTTTATTTTTTAAAAATATTTCCAGCCTAAGATCGGGGATTTTAAAGCAAGTACAAAAAAACCCCCGATCACTTGAAAACATTTTCATCTAATAAAAGTTCTAATAATTTCATATAATTGCAATTACATTTTCACAATGTTAACACCAAAGCTACAAAAATTTTTTAACCCCCTTTATCGTTAACCTTTGGCCACCAATCAGGTATAAAGGGTTTTACCCTGTACACATCACCCCTTCCATTTGCCACAAATAAATCATTTTCTTGCACTTTATCCAAAGTTATCAATGCTAAAGCAATATTATATTGTGCGGAACCTATATTTCCTACTGGGCGTCCTTGCTTACTTAAGTTTTCTATCGATGTATATATGCCTGATGATGGGGGCGGCAACTTGATAGTCGTTTTACGATCTACTTTTAATTGGGTTGGGAGTCTATTTCAGATGATGATAGGACAGAATTAATAAGCTTCAATTTTTTTTGACCATTTCTTAATTTGCGAACAATGAGCTGAAATTACTCTTGATCATCCCGATATAGTTGCACCGGAACTATGCGCTTTCTGGTTACCCCAATATAATATGTCCTAAAAGTGAGTTCTTGTCCGATGTAACAACCCTTCCTCCAATCAACTTTTTCATCGACAATGAAAATACCATTAGCTTTTGTAAGTTCGAAGAAAAATAAACCGAAAAAAAATTATCACATACTTCCTCCCATATAATCAAAATTTGATTGTAATGGTAACGATGTTCCCGGTTCAAAGTCATCAATTCCCTCAGGAACTCCATGAAAAATGCGACGTGTCACATATTCTTCTGATGGCAACTCCGAGAACGAGGCCGGTACTGAGGCTTTATAATGATGTCAATATATATTATTTAATTGATAATTGTGTATGCGTATTATCGAAAAATACATTCGATATTTTAAAATTCTATGATGAATTTACGTGACTTGTCGAACGGCAGCACCAATCTCAATCCCATATAAGGACATCTCGAATCCCTACAACCAATGTCGCTAATGCTTTCTTTCAGAATCAACGAACCCGCGGGTAATTTAATGGCTGTTTTATTGGGAATCTGGTGCTGCCACCACAAATTACTTATATTGCTACCCCACAGGTTCCAAATGCGATATTTAGTAGATGCATCAACGATGGAAACCTTGGATCGAAGAAGGTACTTTTCCATATGCTTGGCGAGATCCTTTAGAATTCTTGAATCACATTCTACCAGAAAGTTTGGATGCGGGAATGCGTCGCCGAGATTTTTAGGATAGATAAAAGTATCATACAGCACCCGCCCCTGATGAGACGACACCGAACAAACCGGATTAAATGGAATATATCTATCGTTATTGATGATGTAAAGTACAACTCACGACTGGGTTCAAAAACGCGGCATAGAATCCTTCCCCTCCGGAACTGATTCTTGGCATGTGATTTGTTATCAATCCTTGCAGAAATTTTACTGAATCTTCTCCTATCACTTCTATCAAACCTCGACTAGGAACTTGGGTGTAGCGATATCCTTTGTGTAACTCATCTTCCTGCCATTCTTGTGAAAATACATGAGTTGAACCGAAGGTTCTTTGAAGAGCGCGAGGATATAGACAATGAAGAGGGAGGCCTAAATGTAAAATACATTTCTTTCAAAAACAGCTTGTCACAATTTTTTTTACTTATGCAACAATAAATGGATTACGTTTTGTTTTTAGATTACTATCTAACCCGTAAACATGATATCGAGTTAGTACTTTCCGCCAAGAAGACATGTTGGATACAAGAAAGAAGCAGGGAAAACATCTTTTTTGCACTTTTTCCGAAGCCACAGATCAATTTATATGAATTATCTTTGTGTTACACACGATAATTAAATTAAACTTTATTTTTAATCATTTCACCATATAATGCATTTTATATATAAGGCATCGTTTCTCTTGCGTAAAAAACCAAAGGTCATTAAAAAAATTATTAAGTCTATGTAGAAGAGACGTCTTTCCGTGTGAGAAATGATCCCGAGGAAAACGAGCGTGATTAATTTAATCATTCGTCAAAACACCATCGATCTTATAAATGATCCCATTCACCGCTTTTTTAGTAACCCCCGTATTTATTTCTCCATTCAATTTATATCCACCATCCTTCCCGTTTTCCACCTTAACCTTGATCCCTTGGCGCATCGTTTGCAATTCTTGCCCCACAGGGAGAGTTTCGTATATTGCAGGTACAATATGTCCCAGAACGAATTGGTACAGTTTTTCTTTAGGATCTTGGGAAGAATCTTTGACCTGGTGAGGTTTGTGGGTGAGATTGCGGAATGCCGAGTTTACAGGTGCAAAAAGCGTAATCGTCGAGTTGGGGTTGGAGATCAGGCCAATCTTCAGAATGCAATATGGATCAATATAAGATATCAAATCTCTAACAAAAAAATATATTCGAACCTACAATGTCACCAAACGATCGCAAATAGTCTACAAATCGAGTTAAATCTTTTTCTATTGGTATTATGTCTTCTAAGGTGGGTGGACCTTGGATAATTGATTCATCGTCCGCTTGAAACTTCATTCTGCCATAAAAATAGTCTTCAGGTTCCACTATATGAGCTAAGGAAGCTGAGAAGACTGTCAGAAATATAACAAAGAATGCGATTGCAGAAGTGTGATAGCCCATTTTCCTTAGCCTTTCTGAGTTTGCAAAACGATTATGATTTTATAACCTCATCATGTCACGTGATGTACATGACACTTAAACATTCAGCCAATAATGTGATCATCAGACGATTTACTTTAAAAAAAAAAATGTCCTCCGCGACAGAAATAATAATCGGCCTCAGAATAGGTCAAAGTTACTCCAGCATTGCCATCATCAATAAGGTATCAAATTAAGCCGAGCTTACATCATAGTTCAACAAAATGTATTTACGCATTCTCTCATTTAAAAACTCGATCAAAGGATAAAAGAGTAGACTGCATAGCTAATGAGGACGGCGAAAGACAGATACCAACAATGGTAGCTTTCTCGGGGGATGAGGAGGTAACTTAAATATCAGGAAAATTTTTTTGAATAAACCTTTCTCTTCCCTGACTTTGAAATCCGGACTCCTAGCTTACAGGAACTCAAGCTAAGGTTCAACTTCTCAGTAACTCGAAAAATACCGTCATGCAATTTCGTAATTTCATTGGGAAAAGGTAGGGGTCGATGCCGATCAATATCTCGCTCGGCCATTTGACAAGTTTAGCTTATATATGCTCGAATCTTCTGGTTATTAAGCTTTGCGGACTGCAAGTCAGAAGTATCAAGGGGGGCAGCTCAACTGATTGATAAAGACGGCGAGCCAGCATATTCCGTAGAGTTTAAGGAACAAGAGACAATTTTCACAGTCAAAGAGATCACCACAAAATATATTGCCAGTCTTCGTGAGAGTGCAGAAAACTTTTTGGGTCAACCTGTTGCCGGCTCAGTTCTCGCGATTCCTACATACTTTGACGATTCGCAGCGCGAAGCATTGAGAGCAGCCACTGAAAATGCGGGATTACGCGTTTTACAGTTAATTAACGAACCTACAGCCGCGGCATTGTCCTATGAGATAGGGCAACAGCCGACATCGCCAAACCGATACCACGACAGTACCATCGTGATTCTTGATCTGGGATCGGACAGTTTTGATGTTACAGCCATGTCCATTCGTTCAGGCATGTTCACAATATTAGGAACCAAGCATGATGCAAATCTTGGGGGTTTCGCATTTGATGAGCTCCTCGCGAATCATTTCGCAAGTGAATTCAAGCGTAAGACAAAGATTGATGTGTTACAAAACAAACGAGCCATGGTCAAGCTGAGAAGTGCAGTTGAAGCCGCCAAAAAGACATTGTCTAGCAACTCAACCGCGCCATGCTCAATCGAGTCATTGGCTGAGGGCGTTGATTTCCACGGGACAATAAACAGAACTAGATTTGAGATCATGGCAAATCGCCTCTTTAATAGGATTTCTGAAATCATAATTGAGGTTCTGAAGAGTAATGAATTGGAGTCTCAATTAATTAATGAGGTAGATGCTTTCGGCTGAGAATCTGCGATCCTGATAAATTGTTTGTCCATCTAAAATAATAAACCCGTTTTTTTTTTCTGTATTCAGGTAATTCTCGTGGGCGGTGCCTCTCGTATTCCAAAATTTCAATCCAAAATTCGAGAGATATTCACAAATCCGGATACCGTCATCCGACAAGAACTTGAACCAGATGAGATTGTTGCTTACGGATGTGCTCTTCAATGTTCCCTGATCGCTGATTTAAACGTAAGAGAAATCAGCGAAAACTTTGACACTACTGTCACGTCCACTCCACATCTATCAAAACCTATTGGGACTGTAAATGCTAGGGAGAAATTTGTGACCATCATACCAGAGAATACTCCTTTGCCGGTACGCCGCATGTACACGTTTTCAAACGTGTCTGATGATCAAAAAGAAATTTATTTTTCAATATGGGAGGGTGCGTACAAGTCAACATCGATGAATTCCGAAGAAAGTCAGGTGGTGAATGATGATGAACCGAACAACGAGGATTCACCTTCACCACTAGCCCCCATAATAGAACCAGAAAAACTACTGGCGGAACTGGTGATGAATAATTTGCCTCCGAAAAAGAGTGGTGAACTCAAAATCGAATTCACCATAGAAATTGATGTTAGCAGCAAATGCACCATAATAGCAAAAGAATCGACAATAGACAATGCCATTAAACTAACGATCGATGGTAACAGTTAACTATAATAATCTAGAAAATGAATTTATCAAAGTATTAAACAAGTATAATTGACTTCTTAGAAAACGATGAAATTCTTGTAACAATAAATTATGAACTTTTGCCTAAACCACCTGACAAAAGGTTTTAACAATAATTATCTTAGATTCATGCAGGTCGTCGATCGTTAATATCGTATACGTGACAAATGAAATTGCATACATAACGTGGCTTCGAAAAAATATCATATATAAAACCTAAAAAGTACATCCGATATTAAATAATACTATGACCACAAATTTCGTTTCAGGCGCTTCCACAATTACAAAAATACCTTTGCGCAATTGACACCTTCCTTATAAAAGAAAAGAAAGTTAAGAAACATGCTACCGACGACCATTGATGGTAATAAGCAGCGACAACCGTTCAGTTAACGTTCTATGGATTGTTTCACTGATTGACTTTATATCCATAGACTATGACAATGGAAAAACTTATAAATATCGGCGTCTTTCATTTACAGTAAGTACAAAGGAACTTATTGTGCTCACAACAGATAATAACAAATTTGTAACCTTAGAGGAAATATCTATCAATTATACGAGTTCTCTTGGGTGTACTGTGTATAGTGTTTCTTCTATTATATCAAAGCAGATTTTTTCTATGGTCGGAGAACGAATCTGGAGTGTCCAATCAAATAGATGTAGAATTTGATTCATCAGATCAAACTTGGTTGAAACGTCAAGAAAAAGTGCGCGAAGCTTTCCAGCATTCATGGAATGGTTATGTTCGTGATGCGTGGGGATATGATGAATATCACCCAATTTCTCGCGTTGGATCAAATCTATCTCAGCGAGGGATAGGCTTTACCATTGTAGATTCTATCGACACCCTTTTAATAATGGGTCTCAAAGATGAATATTCAAAGGCTCGAGATTGGATAGCAAATACTTTGGATTTTAATATTGATGGGAACTTTAATGTTTTCGAGACAACAATTCGCGTTCTTGGCGGGTTATTGAGTGCATACCATTTGTCTGGGAATGACACCACTTACCTACAGAAGGCGATAGACTTGGGCGATCGTCTGCTTGGTGCCTTTGACTCACCAACAGGAATACCCTATGCGTCTGTGAACCTGGCCACACGTGAGGGAATTCCCTCACATTTTAATGAAGGCGTGAGTTCGACGTCGGAAGCAACCACTCTACAATTAGAATTTAGATATTTAAGTTACCTAACCAACAATTATGATTACTGGTCGAGAGTCGAGGGAATAATGTCTACAATTGATGCTCTCAGTAAGCTTGATGGTCTAGCCCCAATTTATTTAAGGTTCGTTGCGACCTCAATATTTATTTTAACATGCGGTGTTTCCGTATGTAAACTTGATATTTTTTATTATTTATAGTCCTAAACTTGGCACATTCTTTGGAGAAACTATAACATTAGGAGCACGTGGAGATAGTTACTACGGTACGCAATTCTTGTAATTAGTGAACTTTCGGAGACATGGATAATCATTTCTTAATTAAAGGGGTTCTTTTCAATTAGAATATCTTTTGAAGCAGTACCTTCAAACAGCATGTACTGAACGGTTTTACCGTCGTATGTATGACGAGGCCATTCAAGGCGTCAAAAAACATCTTATAAGTTATTCCTCACCTTCGAGATTGTTGTTTATTGGAGAGACCTTAACCTTCGATACTACTATTCGCAACAAAATGGATCATCTCGTATGTTTCATGGGAGGAAACTTAGCACTTGGCGCAACACAAGGAGAAAAGCTAAATAATGCAAAGAATTTAAGCGAGAATGACTTAGAGGATCTTAAAATAGGGAGGGAACTAACGAAGACTTGCGCCCAGATGTATTTTCATACTGAAACTGGGTTGGCCCCGGAGATTGTGCATTTCAACACGCAGGAGGGCTCCACAGAAGATTTATTTATTAAAGCATTCGATCGCCATAATCTGCTTCGACCAGAAACTGTTGAGAGCCTATTTATATTATGGAGAATAACTGGTGATGTTCAATACCGGTAAGTGAATAATTCATTTTATTTATTCATGGACGCTTAACAAAGAGAAGATATATTTATGAATATATTACAGAATATGGGGTTGGGAGATATTCCAGGCTTTTGAGAAATATTCCAAACTTCAAGACGGTGGCTACACCTCCCTAGATGATGTTACCATGGTACCACCGGTAAGACGTGACAAGATGGAAACGTTTTGGCTGGTTAGTTTTTTTTTTTTTTTTTCCACTTATACTTGTACACTTCTTTAATAAACGGTTCTCTTCTCATACTATCACAGGCCGAAACCTTGAAATATTTTTATTTGTTATTCGGAACCGATGATGTCCTACCTTTAAATAAATATGTTTTTAATACCGAAGCGCACCCACTTCCAATATTCAAACCATCTTTTCCCTCCACAATGCATGAATGATTTTGGTAATAAAATCATCCAAAAACATCACTCAATAAACACCGAATAATGTACATTTTGTTTGATAAAAACAATTATTTATTTTTTTCAATAAAAAGAAAACTTCTAATTAAAATAACATTTAAGAGTATAAACAATATAATATATTCAAATTAACACGAATGAAAATATTAATCAAGCTCTTGCTGCGTAAATGTGGGATATTTTTTCATAACATCTTCCCACGCGATATCCTCTTCAACTAGATCTTTGAGAACTTGGAGGATGGTGTCAACCTAAGTTTAACATAGATTAGCTTACGAATCCAAAGAATGAAAGTAATCTTATTTCTGGCACCCTCACCTTTTCTCTGATTTGTTTTGTAGTATCCCTTTCACGCAGTGTCACTGTATCATCGTTCACAGACTGGAAATCAATGGTGATAGCGAATGGTGTGCCGAGTTCATCATTACGCGAATATCGACGGCCGATTGAATTGGATGAATCGTCGACTTTTATAGCAATATTAAGTTTACGAAGTTTTGCGGCTTTTAAGTTTGTGGTTTTAAGAAAAAATTAATATCACCAATCCAAAAATAAAAAAAGCAGGACATCAGAAATTTACTACGCACAAATATTACGAACAAGATCCGTGAACGAGGGATTGTTACTTAGAGGAACCAGCAGGCATTTGAAGGGTGCAACACGCGGTGGGAACGACAGGACCTGTTCGAATAGCAAAACAAGTTTAACATGCTGTGTAAACTAATATTACGTAAGACGTGATCACCTACCCCCCTTTGCTCATCACCTTCACGAATCCAATATACGTGTTCAATCAGTGAATATAAAATACGACCAATACCGAACGATGGTTCTATTACATTGGGAATATATTCCCTGACTAGTATCATATCAAACCGTTCAAGTTAGCTAACATATTTTACATAAGCTCGCCATAATTAAAGAATTACAAATGATACCGTGTTCTGTAATAGTCTTCCTCTGAATAGTGAGAAAATCACTAGAAACCTCATATGTATTACCATCAACACCAGGAACCGTGGTAGTTCTTTAAACAAATAAAGTCAATTCACGAGACTATTTAACATAGTCGATAGAGATTTTTTTTTTTTTTTAAAAAAAAAAAAGACAAGTTACCCATTGCCATCTTCAAGTGCTTTTTTCAGATTATCTAACTGTCCTTCGTTCAGGTTAAGTAAATATTCCTCTACTGTTTTTGCATTTTGTCTCAACTTCGGCCCAAAGACTTTTTTGTTTATTTCCAAAACAGTTTTTTCATACACCAGTGGCTCTAACAGGCTTTCCCGTACTACAAGTTTTTCCTTTGTACGATTTGAGTGAACCGTTAAATCGTAAGCGGAGCGATCTGCACAACCAACACATTCGATCCACCCCTATTTACAAATAATTAGAATTTTCGATTATTGTGATAAAAGCAAAATTCTCGAGAGAAAATAAATTGATTACAAACATAGCTACTTTGAATTTCCGCATCCCAACAATCACAGGCATAATGCGCCATTTCGTTGGGCATGTGTTGACGAAACCGAAGTTTTTCAATCTTTATTCCGAGTCTAATTAGGAATAAGTGTATACGAGCAAGGAAATAGCCTAGGGTTTCGTTATCTACAACTTTCTGTAGTCACAAAAGGCAAACATTTTTTAATGCATTGCACTAAAACCATCTGAATCACCAATAAAATATACTTTTTCTACGGCTTCACCAATAGATATTTCAATTGGTTCTGTCTTGCCTTCTGCCTGTACACCTTGTGGTAAAAGGCGAAGTTTGATGTCTTTCACTTCGTCGAAACGTGTGTGATTCTTACTTTGCGGGTCCACGTAATGCTCAATTTCGGCCATCGTAAATTCTCTAAATATTTAAAAGTAATGATCTTTAATTTATTCAGCTGAATAGAAAAGCGTGATTCTGAACTTTCTCCTACCTAACTCTAAGAAGACCGGACCGTGGACTAATTTCGTTCCTGAAAGAACGACCAATTGACGCGGAAGCAAACGGCATTTTATCATTGTTAAACTCCAGAAATTTTTTGAAATTTAGAAATTGACCCTGTGCCGTTTCCGGTCGGAGATAACTAAATTCAGGATAACAAATTTATTCTCGGACCAAACCTCAAAATGTATACTTTTAAAAGAGTACGACAAATTATACCCTTTAGTGGTCCCTGTAGGGCCAATACTGCTTTCAAACATCAAGTTAAATTCAACGGGTTCAGATAGATCATTTTCCGTTTCAGGGCTTTTTATGTTGTGTTTACGTATGATCTCTCCGAGCTCCGGGCCAGTATAGTTATCGATCTAGTTTAATTATGATTAATGAGAAATTTTGTTTCAAGCAAGCCTCGACAACAAAAAAAAACCCAGAAATTATAATTTAAAAATTACCTTTGCTAAGATATCTTCATATTCCTCTCTCGTGTCCTTTTTTAGTTCTACTGCTTGAACTTTGCCCTTCTTTTTCTTCTTCTTATCTGCCGCCGCGCTCACTCCCACGGCCTCAACGTTTGCTGATCTTGCTTGTTTGTCACCTTCAAGCCTTGCTTCTAAAACAGCCTCAACTAGGTGGTCAGCACGGAAGATATCTCCAGTTTTAACGTCTTTAACCATCCAGTCTGCAAACTTATCCACGTGACCTGATGTTTTTAGAACTTCAGCTAGTGTCATGATAGTTCCATCCATTTCGAGCATATCTTCCTCTAACACAAAATGCCTGCGCCATAACTCGAGAATGTTGGACTGAAGTGCACAGCCCGGCGGACCATAGTCGTAAAGTCCGGCAACACCTTGCAGAATTCAAGGTGAAAGTAGAAACATGAAGAGAGGTTACCCCGAATGAAGTCAACATTATATTGGCATTACACTGCAATGGGCTTTTCAAGAAACTCAATTACCTCCATAAGATTGAAAGGAGGGCGCGTAGAAGAAACGTTTCTTTAACAATTCTTCTAAGTTGCTACGGTTAAACGCGGCCATACTCGTGCAAAAGTTAAATCTAAAAGTAGGCTGAGCCCAAGTGTTAAGTATCAGACAGTTTGTCCTGATTTTTTTCTTGATATAAAACTTGCAATGGTTCGTAGTCGAATGAACAAATTTCAGTTTGTTCATGATTATCATATATACTCGGAATTTGCCGCAGTACTTGCTTAACCACAATAGAAATTCCTTTTTGAATTTTTGAATTTTTAAAAAACCGGGTTTAATAAAACTAATGAATTTAAAATGAAATATACAGTATATAGTGTGGAACATTACTACTTTACTAATTTTAGTTATTAATTCATTATTAAAACTATATTAGAAACTAATATATTGTTTAGATAGATTATACTATTAGTAAGGATAAAAAAAAAATTTTTTTTTTATGCTAATATTTATATAAATTACTTTTTACATTATATCTTTGACCCATATAATTATTATAAAACCAGAGGGGCTTTATTATTAGTATATATTTTTTAAAAAATGTTTTAAAAAATTATTGATTAATTTAAGTTAACGAATTTAAGAACTTATTAGGTTAGATAAAATATAACTTTTAAAAATAATTTTTTTAATTTTCTAATAGATATTTATAAATTCAATTGATTTAGATTATCAAATCTAGAAACACAATTGTTAATTAAAATATAACTTTCATATATTTAATATTTTATTGAATAATTGCAAAACATTTATATATTAATCTTTATATTAATCTTTTTTTTTACTGCAAATAAGTATAAAATGTGAGACCTTATTGATTAAATGCCAATTTTATCATTATATATTAATAATCTTTTCAAAATTTTTATATAATATTAATATAAGTAATTATTTTCAAAGGTGGACCAGAAATTTTCTAGTGTAATTCTAAATCATATCTAGCATTTTTGGCACTTCCAAAAATAACTATCCATATATAATAAGATATTATTATTGTTTTAATTATTATTATTGTTTTAATTATTATTATTATTTTAATTATTATTATTGTTTTGATTATTAATATTTATAGTAAATAATAATATGATTTTAAAAAACTTTTTTCTTTAAAAAAATACTTTAATCAGAGGAGTTTTTTAAAAAAAAATTTGAAAAATTTGAAAAAATTCTATAATAAACTATTTTATAGATTATCCAGCATTCAAATTTGAATATTAAAAAATTTTTTATACTAATTTTTTATAATTCAACTAAAATTTCTTAAGTTATCTCCTCCTATTTTTAAGCTATGCAATTATTCATTAACTTTGTATTACATGTATTTGAATTTTTATCATAATGATAATTATTCAAATCATATATTAAAACTCTATGTCTTTTAAATTAAATATAGCTTCAAGTTTAACAAGTGCTTTGTCTTGTAAATTAGAAACAAGTTTCAATAAGGAAGAATATGTTTCACTTTTGGTGTCTTATCAATGCCTTTTAAACAATTCGGATTCAAAAAATGAAAATGAGAATGAGGACAAAAATGAAATAAATATAAAAAATATTCATAAAAAAAAATATAAATCAATAAAAACTATACAATTACCACCATAACCTTCTGATTTTGAACCATTAATTCATACAAGACAACCTCAAAAAATATCCATTTGGCTACTAATATATCTTGATATTAATGTCTCTAAACCAATAGATTTTTTTTCTTTTTTTTACAACAGATATATTAACACTATTGTTGAAAATACAAATATTTACATATTATCAAAAAGTGCTAGCATTACTAATAGGCATTGGCTAAACTTTACTTGTAAAGAATTTTTTATCTGACTTATCTTGGTTATTTGCCAAGAACTTTTCAAATTGACATTTCTTGATTAGTATTGAAATAAAAATGGAAAGTTTTCCATTTATTCTATTTCAAAACAAATGTCATTGAAGCATTTCAAGCAGATAAAAATATATCTGCATATTTCATCACCTATAGCATCTATTAAAAATTATTTTAATAAATTAGAGCCATTGCTTTCACAACTTTATATATCAAGTACAAACATTTCTATAGATAAAATGATAATTAGATTTTCTGAAAGAAGTGTTCATACTGTTCATATAAAAAATAAACATACATTTGAAGGATTCAAGATTTTGTCTCTTTGTAATTCTGAGTATACTTTTATTTTTTTGCCAATATTTCATATTGTTCCAAGTGATATAACAAAAGTAAGCAAACTTAATCAAATCGGATGTGTCATTTATCATCTTGTTAAATAGCTTCCATATCAATAATTCTCATACAATATATACACTACTTGAACAAAAGTATTGTATATCATTTATTTATTAATTACACAAAATTTTACATAATAATTATATTTAAAATTTTAATATGTTATATTTTATATAATGAAATATCTATATATAAATCAATATTCTGTTGGCCATCCATTATTTCTAATAACTGCTTCTATT